CGGAGCAACTAAGCCCATGCGCCACAACTACTGAGCCTACGCTCTAGAGCCTGCGTTCCTAGAGCCCATGCTCTTCATCAAGAGAAGCCACTGCAGTGAGAAGCCTGCGCACCGCAACAAAGAGTAGCCCCCGCTCGCCGCAACTAGAGAAAGCCCGCGTGCAGCAACGAAGACCCAACGCAGCCAAAAATATATAAATACATTTATATATATAAAAAAAGACAAGAACGCCTACAATCACCACTTTTATTCAACATCATACTAAAGATCCTATATTAGAGAGGAAAAAACAAAACAATGTTGCTCCCAGATAATGAGATCTATATAGTAATCCCAAATAATGTACAAAACTGAACAAATTATTCAAATTTCGTATACTGATCTGACATAAAATCAATATGTAAATATCAATTACATTTCTATATACACAACAAACAGAAAATGCACTGAAATGGAAAATACTGTTTACAACAAAAAATAAATAAATAAATAAGATGTCTGGGGATAAAACTAACAAAAAATGAGCAAGACTTGTATCCAGAAAATTATAAAACTCTGTTAAAAGAATACCCTAAAGGAGTAAAGAGATAATCTTGTCATGGATAAGACAGTATCGAATTTGATCTACAGATTTAATACAATTCCAATTTTAAAATTCCAATAGGGTTTTTTTGTGGGGGAGGGGAGTAAGGAGCTAACAAGCTGATCCTAAAATTTTTTTGAAAAAATCAAGCTGATTCTTAAAATTGGGGTGGTGGGGGGGAAGCTAAATCTCAAATAGCGGAACACTCCAAAAAGGATGAAAAAAGTGGGGCGATTTGCCCTACCTGGTATCAAGACTTAGTGCAGAAAGGATGGACTATTCAGTAAATGGTTCAGGAACAACTTGTTATTCATATTGGGGAAAAAATGAAGTTGGATTCCTATATTATATTAAACAAAAATAAAAAACAAAACAATACACATACATATATTTTTTAAAAACTTAAGTGCCAAAGGCAAAACCATAACATATTCAAAAGAAAATACAGGGCAGTATCTATAAGACCTAGGGGCAAGGAAAGATTTCTTAAGTTTAAGTCACAAACAGTACTTAACATTCAGGCAGACAAATTCAATTACATTAGAGTTATGAACATGTATTCTTCAAAAAACACTGTGAATACAGTAGAAAGGCAAGTGTAAATTATGGAAAAACAATTGTAGCACACAGCTGAGTATTAGTTCCCAAAATATACATGAAGATCCTCAAATTAGTAAGAAAACACAAGCCACTCTATAATGGAATATAATTTGCAAAAATACTGAATAACTATGCTGTACACCTGAGAGTAACACAATATTGTATATCAACCATACTTCAAAACAAAAAAACAAAACCACAAGCCACTCAAAAGGAAAAATAGGTAGGCAGCTGAACATTAAAAGATATAAGTTTATGAAAGGATGATCAACTCATCATATTTCAGGACAGACAAGCTAAAATCACAATAAGATACTATTTTATACCCACCAGATTGGCAAGATTTTGCCAAAGTCTGACTATACCAAGTAATTATGAGTATGTGAATTAATGGGAACTTGCTGGTACTGAGGGTATAAATTGGTACAACCACTTGAAATAAAATGCATTATTTTGTAAAGCCAGTAATACATTATGATTCAGTAATTCTACTTACAGATAATAAATCTAATATACTAGATCTATACTTGAGAGAAAATTATCTTGTATATGTACATCAGGAGAGACTCAAAATGTTCACAGCAGAGACAATACTCAAATTTAGGGACATTTCTCTTATACTTTTTCTTATACTAAAGTTAGCTTTAAGAATTCATTTGACTTCACTTTGTTATATACCTGAAACTAACACAACATTGTAAATCAACTATACTCCAATAAAAATTAAAAAAAAAAGTTAATTTGACTAACAACCAACCAAAAGAGAGTTCAGTATTTTACTAATTTTATAAATACCCCTGTGGGAAAATACCACTTCCCTGAATTCTGTGTTCCTGCAAAAAGCCCTAGCCTTCTGACATGCAGAAATATATATGATATAAAGATAGGAAATGTCTGTTTACATTTCCCCCAGAAATATTTCACTCTTCACATACCTTAAGAATTATATCTATAGCCAATTACCTAGTTAATTGCTCTGATCTGAAAGGATAGTTAAATTTCTCTTATCTCCCTGAAAGTGCCAAGTGAGTACACAAAAGGTTACAGTACAGATTAGGTTCCTAGGTTAACTCCCACAATTCCAGAAGACTGGAGATCTATCTCCCTAGGTATTACATTTCAAGGAAGAATAAATGGGTCGCAGGAACTTGGAGATGTCTTTAGGTCCAAGAGGGCTAACTGGCTCCTGAAGAGATTTCATTTATTCATCAAAGGGTTGGAGTTAATATTCATTACATTTTAAAGGATATCTTCTTCCAGAAGGGCAGGGAGATAGATGCCTCCTTCCCTTCATGAGCAAAGAAAAATCATTTTCCTCACCCCTTGCCTACTGAGTGTCCAACTACTTGCATAGGATAACTGACCTGAGTCTTGATGCATTGCCCTAAGGGTCGGAAATAGGGCAAAAGAGAGCCAACACATTCATTACTTACTGTGAGGTACTGACTAAGTCTCTCTCTGATCCAGAACATCTCTTGTGTGTATTCAGGATAAAATTATTGAGAACCCAACAGTCCCCAATGCACCTCCCATTATGATGACAACTATGAAGAAAGTAGCTATAGTTAGAATAATTCCCAGTGGGGTTTGCAGGAAAGGGGGCAGCCACACAAAGTACGTCAGTTCATTAGATTCATGTAGTGTAACCTTATGGAATGCCTGTGCCCTCTAAGATCTAGGATCTTACTTTACTTCTTGATTCTGGGAAGACCCAGTCCTCCACAAACCTAATATAACACTTGCTCAGGTGAAAAACAAAATGCCAGTATCCTTCCTATACTGATTCTCACTATTAGGCACTCAACAGATACTGTACTTTTCTGATAAGCTCCTCACTGTCCAGACCCACAATACTCATTCTCTGAAATTCAAGAACTGAACAGATTTGGATAACTCAATATCCCACCATATCCAAACCTACTACCTAAACTTTCACTTTATGAACTCAGGAACTGAATAGATTTTGGTCATGAGGAATACTTGTATCATAGACAAATTTTGGGAGGAAAACAAGAAACGCAAATATAAATATAAAAGTATGTTCACATGTAGGTGAATGCGCATGTGTGTGTGTTCTAAGATGCCTACCTAAAGATTTCTAGCTGGTCTCAAAAAGTTATTGCTAGGTGTCCATCAATTCACAAGTGTACAAACTCTGCCTATGAGTTTTGTATATAATTTGACCCTCCATCTAAATATAAACGACGGATTGGTTAAGCAAATATATACGCATACAACAAAATTCTACGTAGCCATCTATGAAGTTGCAGGTTCTGAAAATCACAGATACAACTCTCCGTGTGACTACCTGGAAACCGAGGCTCAACAAAATGAGGAGTAAAAAGAAGTCAACAGATGAAAACTTGTGGGCTTCCCTGGTGGTGCAGTGGTTGAGAGTCCACCTGCCAATGCAGGGGATATGGGTTCCTGCCCCGGTCCCGGAAGATCCCACATGCCGCGGAGCGGCTGGGCCCGTGAGCCATGGCCGCTGTGCCTGCGCGTCCGGGAAAGGCCACAACAATGAGAGGCCCACGTACCGCAAAAAAACAAACAAACAAAAAAAACTTGTATTAAATGGCATACTTGTGCAAAAAAACTTCTCTCCCTCTCTACTGGAATGTCCCATCAACATTTAAACATGAGCTCACCTACCTCATGTTAACAGAAACCTTGGAATAGCCACTCTCCTCTGCAATCACCTCCTCTCCTTCAGCTAAATTATACATATTAGCATCACGTATTCATTTTCCATTCATTCCTGAATCCATCACAATCTGCTGCCTGACCTAGTAATCCCGCTACCCAAACTCGATATACTCAATACGTACTAAATTAGATACTACCTAGTAAATATCTCTTAAATCATTCTCCTTTTTCTTTTCTCATCCAACCTATCATTACCCTCTAAATGTAAGTTTCCTACATCATCTCCCCGCTTCAATTCACCAAGATAAATTTTTAAAACACAGATTTGATCACATTGCATACACGATTAAAACCTCATCCTACTCTTTAAAACCCATTGCTATAGGATCAAGTCCAAATGTCCAAACATTCGAGCACTGCCTGAATGACACTGCAGAATACAGCCCCCTACACACTTTTCTAGCCTCATGTTCTACCACTTTCCCCCAACTACTCTAGTGTTTTTATCCTTTCAACCTCACCAAGCGCCTTGTTCTTTTTGAATCTTCAAATATATCACTGTCTCTACTGGAACAAAGCACATCTGAGTAACTCCATTTATCACATAATCCAGGAAAACAGAGTCTCTTGCCTCATTCTTTTTTTTTGTTTTTTTTTTTGTGGTATGCGGGCCTCTCACTGCCGTGACCTCTTCCGTTGCGGAGCACAGGCTCCGGACGCGCAGGCCCAGCGGCCATGGCTCACAGGCACAGCCGCTCCGCGGCATGCGGGATCTTCCCGGACCGGGGCACGAACTCGTGTCCCCCACATCGGCAGGCGGACTCTCAACCACTGCGCCACCAGGGAAGCCCTCTTGCCTCATTCTTTACCAAACTATATACCCTGCATAAAAAAGTGATAATTAATAAATATTTGTTGAATATCACAGTCACAAAACATAATAAAGATACTTCATGGGAAAGACTGGTCTATAGAGGATCTAGTGTCGTGGCTAAAAAGAAAAGTACCAAAAGCCACTAAATTACATTAACCAAATGGCAGCAACAAAAACAGAGACCTTACGGTATTTTCAGAGGCAGAAAATGAAATAAACCGAAATATTATCACAATCTCTTATTAATATGCATATTTCTAAGGGAGAATGAGGGACATTTTAAAACCTTTCACTCACAAGTTTTTCTTTCTCTAGTTTTTGCAGCAAACTTTCCATGTTACTTCCAATTCTTGTCTTTTCTACAACTTCATAGAGGCTGCAATACATCCCATTCTTCAAAACTGACATAGGAAAAAATACACAGTAAATATTCAAATCAAGTCTGCTTCTTATATATTTTAGTAAAATTAAATTGCTTTACCTTCATATGGACCTAAGTAAGTTTCCTTATAAAACAGCGCTGGAGGGATTTTCTGTTTCAGATGATCAATACTCATAACTGTTTCAACATCTAACTTCTCAGGACTGAAAGAAAATTGAAAAGGCGTATTTGCCTTACCTGTATTTTTAACTCTAGCAATGTTCTCTCTCTCTCGCTCCTTCTCTCTCTCTCTCTCTCTCACACACACACACACACGCGCACACACACACACAAACCCACCCACACACACACAAGTATCCTGATGGAATACAGAAGAGCATATTTATGAATATCATACTTGATATTTGATTTGGGCAGTTCAGATATATGTACAGGTAGCTAGACTGTCCAGCAATATTACCAACCTTCCATCTTTGAGCCAGAAGCTAACCCTTATTTATACTAATTTTACTAACCACAAAAGATAAAAAGTTGCCATTTTATTAAATGCAATTCAAATATGAACAGTTAAATTAATCTTCAACCATTTATGGGGACCCATAATGTTTACTGTGGTGGTAGCAAAAGATCATTTTAAACCTTTCTATTCCAACATATGTTGCACAGGACTGAAAACAGCATATAAATTTTAACTTAACTGACCACATCAAGCTGTTTCCAACAAAGAACTGATAAATTTTAAGTCTATCATGTTCAAATTGCTAAATGAAAAATATATCTAATTAGGACAAAACTTTGAAAAATACTTTTAATATTTAAAATCACTAAAAAAAAATCTTATGCCATAAATGTGTATAACTATTTAGCCCATCTGCAAATCAAGACAGAAAAGCATAGGGCTCATTCTGCCAACTAAGTTTCCAAAGTTATCAAATCAATCTTTTTTAAAACAAACCACTGTTTATATGTAAGTTCTTATGGATCAAAGTAAAATTTAAATGTAAGTAAGAAAAAGGAATTTTAAGTGTAAGTAAGAACTGAATAATTAGCAACTACTAACTGCTATTTTCTTGTAATATAACATACTTACAGCTTGATAGGCAAAAAAGCACGAGTGGCTGACCTCAGAGAAATATAACACAAAAGCTTTCCTTTATTTAAAAGCTGTCCTTTCCACAACGTGTAGTTAAATTTATCTAAATAAAAAGAATAATGACACAACTCAGCCTCTTGGCAGCCCAGAAGCAAATATTTACTAGAACTAAGGGGAAAAACATCCAGAAACACAGTTTAAGTAGAACCACCAAAAGAAACCTTGACATTTCTATTTACAGGGAATTCAAATACTAGGATTTTTGTTTCAGGTATCTTTTCCCCTATAAAATTATTCCAGATGAAAAGAATAACAAATTTATTTGCCTAAATGTCCTCATATCAGAAAGGTGAGGAGCAAAGACAATACAGTACTGCCCTCCTATTACCCCCAAAGGAGACTATACTAAATCCAGTTAACTACATGAATCCCTCACAATGTCTTACAGCTTCCACTTGCGCTCTTCTCATCACAGAGAAATCTGAAGATAGAAAGTGTCAATATTGCTTTCAATCTTCTCTCTCTTCTAAATTCTACACCTCTGATGAAGTTATTAATACTTTTAAAAGGCTGAGTTGTGAAACTTGTTCTATTTTTTACCTTTATCAACAAAGTGCTAAAATTCTTTGGTCTATTCACAGTACCAGCAGATTCTCAAAGGAGACCTTATGTTTGGATGACCAAATGTTGATGCTACATCATAACATGGCCTCGAGCTTTTTCATACTTTGCAGATTCTCATTCATTATAAAAATAAAACAAAGTACTTATTAATTTTTTTACTCTACATACTTATTCTTTCGATTTATAAAACTAAAAGAAAGAAATGTTAGAATCTTACCTGAGTTTCTATCTGCATTAAAGCTGTTAGATCTACAAATAAATTTTTAAAAAGAAGAAAGAAATATTACTGATTTCTAACAACATGAAAGTTAACATTCAGGGCATTGATAGAAATGCTATTTTTTAATGGGATACTGTACAAGAGAATTAAATCCTTCCCTCCCAGTATGAAGAACAAATTACTTATTACAACATTTAATAAATCCAAGTCTACTCAGGGATATCAGAATCACTTACTTGGCTCAAATTACCGTATTTTCCCAAATTTAAGGGAGCTGTTTTTCCCAAAAATATCCATCAGGAGAGAATATAGTCCTTTAAAGTCTCGGTCAACTACTTTATTTTGGTGATGAGATGTGAAGAAATAGCCTCAATCATACTTAAATATTTACTAAGCTTCTATTATTTACTAGGCACAGTTCTGGGTAACAGAATTACAGGGATGAACAAAATCCCTGCCTTCATAGAGCTTACAGTCTCATAAGGAAGACAGACAACAATCAAAAAGTAAGTATATAGTTTACCAGATGATGATCGTTTTAAGTGCTATGGAAAAAAAGGAAGAAAGGTACTAAGGGTACATAGGTTTCAAAAAAAAAATCATGGAAGGTCTCACTGACAGTGTAAACTATGCAGCTAACTGAGGAATGAGGAGGAATAGCAAATGCAGAGGCAGGAGCATTCATGGCAGCATTCAAGGTACAACAAGGATGTTCATTTTAAATGATATGGAGGGTCAACAGATGAAATCAAAAAGGCAAAGAAAATTAACAGACAATCATTATTCCTAGGGGTATAACCTTATAATTAAGTGCTGGGTGTCTTTTAAAAATCACTGTTGAAAGGCACTATAGTAAATGTATCATGGAGATCACAAATATAGAGCCACCGAAAAAAAAAAGAATGAAAGAAAAACACAACTGTCAGGATATTACGCAGATCAGTACTTGTGGCTGTGGATGGTTTCCAGGGCTATTCACTGACCAAAAAAAAGTGCTGCATCTCAAACAACTTAAATGAAGACAATCTGATCTGAAAACTGATTAAAAGGTTGACCTTAAAGGGCTTCCCTGGTGGCGCAGTGGTTCAGAGTCCACCTGCCAATGCAGGGGACACACAAAAAAATGCAGGGGACAAAAAAAAAAAAAAGAAAAAAAAAAGGCTGACCTCAAAAATGTTTGTTTCATGAAATGTGGCTTTTTAAAACTGCAGTATTTCTAAATTAATAGATATCACGCATGACTTCAAATCTGGGAACTCAAAGTAAAAATAAGTAGATATTTAACTGTTTCACCTACATCTCTGTAAATTTACTTATTCAATTTTGCCAAAACATTTTCTGGAATCACCCCCATGGGTGGGGAAAAAAGAAACTGATTTGTACCTGGTCACCTTATAGTAGAGCTTGTAAGAAATCATCAATTAACTCATAATTAACTCTGACTGACCATCAGAATCACCTGGAAGTGTGTAAAAACTACCACAGCCTAGGCTCCTTCATAACTACTTGATTTAACTGGTTTGAGATGGGGCTGAGGATTTGTAGAAGCTCCCCATTTCCAGGAGAGCTAATACACAAAATTTCACTTTTAAAAACTGCATTTGGGGGAATTCGCTGGCAGTCGAGCAGTTAGGACTATGTGGTTTCACTGCCAAGGGCCCAGGTTCGATCCCTGGTCTAGGAGCTATGATCCCACGTGCTTCATAGCACAGCAAAAAACAAAATCAAACAAGCAAACAAAACTGCATTTGGGCATTCCCTGGTGTGGTCCAGTGGTTAGGACTCCCAAGCTTCCACTGCAGGGGCACGGGTTTGATCCCTGATCAGGGAACTAAGATCCTGCATGCCACATGACATGGCCAGAAAGAAAAACCCAAAAACACCAGCTGCATTTATGCAGCTACACAAGCCTTCACTATCAGGAAAAAAAAGGTTAACTGGTGAGGTTTAATTTAGTTTTTATTTCCACACAGTTAAGTATCTGTCCTTCTAACTGACTTCTTAAAAGTCATCATGAACATTCATAAATCTAATTAATTTCAAGAGAAGGAAAAAAAATGGGAAGAAATACAAAGCGTTCCTCCTAACTCAGAAGTGCAGGATATGTGATATAATACCATTCTGGACGACGTCTAAAATTCACGAGTCTTACCTTGATGAAGGTACGAACTTTGGAGTTTGTATATCATCTTTATAAGTAAAAGACACAACTGCATATGGACACACGTGTCTCGGTCTTCGCCTTAGCTCATCAAAGCCATACTCATAAAAATAATACTAAAAATAAGAAAATGCAAAATTAACTTCCTTAAGAAGGCAAGAAGCAGACAGTGAAATCTTACAATTACCTGCCTGGTTTTTGAGAAACACAATACCACTTAAGTACCTTTAATGAAAAATATCTTTAAGCACTGCTTGTCAATTTAATTAAAATAATTTGTACTTTATATTCATTGTATGATATATAATATTCTGCTTCTATATATATACCAGATGCCAGGATGCTAATAGGTATTCCAAAAGTTTACTTCTGAAGAACTGACCAGTGGGAATGTGCAACAAATTTCCTCATGAAAATGAAACAAATGGAGCCTAAGCTCCCAGGTCAGCCCAGAAAAACCAATTTGATACAATAGTAAAATACTAAGAACACAATTTCAAGCAAACCTAGCATTTTGCTCATTATTTCAAAAGAAAAACACTCTTTTGACTCCAACTGCAGACAAAGCAACAAAGGGGAGGTGGCAGAGATTACAAACATAGGTGACAAAGGCAGCTGAACCTCTTCCTATTACCCTATCCATCTGCCTCTCCCCTTCACCTATTCACAACATTCATTAGATTAGGGTTTTCTGACCTGCAGTCTAGGGATTTTCATTAAAAAGAATGCCCTAGTTTATAAACAAAGCACTGTCCTTCAAAGTCCATTCTCTTGGGAAACTTCCAATAATGTTGCTGTTGCTCTAAAAATGCCTGGAATTTTTCTGGAAACATCAAGCCAATTTACAAGTTCTGCTACAAAAACCAGTAACTACTTTATAGTTATATTTCATATCTACTAATACTACTGTCCAGAAGGTAATCAAATGAGTCAGCCCAGATGACTTTGGTGAATATAATTTTTGCTGAAAGCCCCCAACAACAGGTCTTGCCCACTGAGATTCTTCAAAAAGAAAAGAGCAAGAATAAACTTTATTTTATGTAAATAAAGTAAAAATCAAAGAAAAGAAAAAGAAAGAACATTTCCAGGGAGGTTAGCACCACCACTTTTCACATACAATCCATTCAGATATACACATTTTTTATACATTTGTTAAAAAGAGTAACATTATAGTCAAACAACATATAAAAACACAACTGATATTCATCAAATACTACACTTTTAAATATGTGTAGTTTACTATAAATCAATTACATCTGAATAAAACTTAATGAATTCTAAGTTTGCATTTTAGAAAAATACTAATAAAAATAGAAAATATCTACCAAATCAATAATACAAAGTGATATGAATTAAGGTAATTCAAGGGGCTTTAACTTTACCTTAAAGAATGAGCAATATTTTATTAGACAGGATCTTTCAAGGCCAGGAGAAACCAAGGCTTCAAGAGGAAATGAGATCGTTGAGGGCAGGAATTATACAAAAAACAGGCTGGAGGTCACAGTCTACAGGCAGGGAGAGCTAGCTAGGCTAAGGAGTCTGAATATCACTGTAAGTCTAAGGGGGGGCCACTGTTATGTTTCTGAGCTATCTTGGAAACACTGAACAAACAGCAGTGAGAGTCACTGGAGTCTAGCAGTGGTAAGTGGAAACCAGAGTCTAGTGTGGTGGCAAGGAGAACTGAAAGGGAGACATTTTAAAGGATTTAGTGACAAACTGATATGAGGTCATAACACTAAAATGGATCCAGGTACTTACCTGAGTAAGCTCATAAGCTCTATAAGCCAAAAGTGATGTAATTCTATTGGCATTCTTCGACACATGACATTCATGCTTTGGTGTTGGGTCCAAAGCACTTTTATTTAATATAGATTCCAAACTTTTTACACCCATGGGGTCATATATACTCTTTATTTTACCCTAAAATACAGAAAACCTTTTAAGTCCACCAAAACCTAATTACTGACTGTATAACATTAATATTATAGAATAACTCTTTGAATATAGATTACCTATAACAACAGCTTTTTCCTTTAATACCTGGTAATAAAGTAATACCCAACACTTTTTACTAATATCGAAGCAGTAAGAAAAAGTTAACCAAAAAAAAAGCTTGTTTGAATTTAATACAAGGAAATTAAAATTTTCTTCACAACACTTCACTAGCTTAAATAACATTATCAACATATTTCCCTCTCTTCATTCTTTTCTTTGGAAAGGAAAGCAAACCCTAAAGCTCAGAAAGCTCAGATTAAAGATGGCAAACCACTCTCAAAAGTATCTTTATACGCCAAACACAAGCAAGCACTGGTTTTTAATTCAATCAAGCCCCTAAAGACAGCGTCGACTAAAATCCAAGTCAAATGCTGTCTTTGATATATGAAATGTAAAAGTTGAAATTACCTTCATTATTTTAAAAATAACAACATCGCCCACTGCCCCAGCTTCCAAAGGATTAGCTTGTAATAAATCAGCATACCTAGAAAGATAGACACCTAGCAAAGAGGGAAAAATTAAAGTTTTGTTTTAATATGGACACAAATACAAAAAGCCCAAATATTTAACATAATAAGAGATAAAAGGTATGACACCTTTAAAAAAAATGTAATGATAGCTGATATTTAACCAAAGCAAAAAATAAAACTAGAAAAAACATGAAAAATCAAAATTTTCAAAATCACTAGAACTAGACTAAGAGATTAAAAAAAAAAGATAACCCTTGTTTAATTGGAAGTATGCAAAATCAGAAACAAAGGATAAAACTGGTTTTCATTGCAGAACCTGAAACTAGTCTCTTTTTCTGGGAACATGACAAAGCATACATGAATTTAATTATAAGGACAACAGCGAAATTAGATAATATATTTTTAAAGGGCAACTTAGTAGTAGGTAAATGAAAAAAGAAAAAAGATTACCCATGGAAGGACTGCCAAGAATTGTTATTTTGGACTGGCCCACCTGTAATCCTTTTTCACATATGCTCTGAACCTAAATAAACAAAACATTTCATCTTACAGTCAATACATTAAAAATGTGAAAAGACAGTTTGTAAACTTGTTTTAAGTAAAATCCAAGCTTCTAAATTATATTTTTTTATGTTACAGAAATTATACATATGCATGCTAGTTTATGACTAAATATCAATGTGAAACTGGCTTACACTTCCAATGTAACCATAGTTGTAATCTATTTTTGTTTATGCCAGGTCTGACCTATACTTAGAATTCATGCCATTCATATATATAAACATGCCCTTTTAGAAAGAATTAGTCCTGGCAAACTATTTAAAGAGAAATTAACTCCACCTAAACATCTTTGATCAAAGGAGTAAAAATAGTTCCCAGCACATATAATCAGTAATATAGAAGATAATCTACTTTAATAAAGGAAAAATTATTTACTATCAAGCACATTCCAGGGGGGAAAATTAGGTTTGATCAAAGAAAAAATGAACATATTTGAAAAGCAAATTACAAACAATGAAATACCTTGCACTAAGCCATTTTTTCCATTTCTGCATCAAAAAATTGTTAGTCTATAAAAATCAAGTGTATAGTATAACTCATTCACTTTGTTATAAAGCAGAAACTAACACACCATTGTAAAGCAATTATACTCCAATAAAGATGTTAAAAAAAATCAAGTATTGGTTAATTGCAAATTTAGGTAACTTACAATGGAAGCACTTTCAAATTGTTTTTTATAAAATGGGTTCACTTACCTGATACCGATCAACCATCAGAAATGCATAGGATTCTGAAAGTTCTTTATCTAAACGACCATCAAACTTCAGTTCTCTTCGCTTTTCTGTAAACTAAATGAAATTAAATCTATAACGACTCCTTAGTATGTGCTTATGTTTTTCAAGCTAAGAGTTTCAGGAAGCTTATTTCTAAGAAATTCCAAATCAGCAATTCCCAGGTGGTCCAGTGGTTAGGACTCTGTGCTTCCACTGCTGGGGGCCCGGATTTGATCCCTGCTCAGGGAACTAAGATCCCACAAGCCGCGAGGCATGGCAAAAAAAAATCCATATCTACGAAAGTGGAAATTATCTTTTCTCTCCCTGTAATTTCTACACTTCATTTTTTCCCATTATAATTGGATCTTTATCCTTACAATATAGTCAAATAAGCATCTAGTGCTAAACAATTTTAACTAAATTTCTATTAAAATCTTACCACACTCCAACTCTCCCATAGATTTTTTTTGCGGTATGCGGGCCTCTCACTGCTGTGGCCTCTCCCGTTGCGGAGCACAGGCTCCGGACGCGCAGGCTCAGCGGCCACGGCCCACGGGCGCAGCCGCTCCACGGCATGTGGGACCTTCCCGGACCGGGGCACGAACCCGTGTCCCCTGCATCGGCAGGCGGACTCTCAACCACTGCGCCACCAGGGAAGCCCTCCCATAGATTTTTAAGTTCATTTTTTGGTTATCTTTGGATCTTTCATTTTACCTGACATGGTGCACTGCATATAGGTGGTTTAATAAATCTCTGTTTAATGACCAACTTCTAGACTATAAACTCAATTAGGACAAGGAAAAATGTTTCATTTCTTTACAATTATATTCTCAGTGCCAAGTACATAAGCCATGTTCCATACCCATTTCCAGGATAAAAGAGTGACTTGATCTAAGTACATCTGAACTGTAAGTCACCCTCAACTGCTGGCTTTCACTTTTAGATACAAGCAAATAGATATGAAGCCCACACCTAACAGATTTACATGCCATGTTCAGGCTATTACCGATCTTCAATAATATAATTAATGAATCTTTAAATTTTCATATAAAATTAACAAATAATTCCTATCATATCATGAAACCACATCAAACTACCAAGGTTTTAACTTCCTCTGGGAGCCGGGAACATTCATCCACTTTAGGGATCCTTTCAAAGTTAAATTCTCATAGCACTAGATTAACCAACCTATAAAAGTACAAAATTAATAGTATTTCATGTACATCAGAAAGCAATATACACATCAAATATTTCTAAACATCTCATTTGTATTACCTCAGGATTATTATGGCTTTTCCTAAATCAAAACTCAAAAAAAGATTCTAATTTGTATATGAAACTTAAATTCCCTACCTAACAGGCTCAACTATTCCCCTTTGTTCTCACTTTTTCACTAAGAATTTCTACTAATGATATTAAGATAACTCAATTACCAGGCAATAACTGGGGAAAAAATTAAGCATATCCTAAAAAAAAAAACAAAACGTATTTTATTTCATTAACCTTCTAATTTAGACATAATATGCTCTTAGAGATTCCATTTAACTAACACGCTTGAAAGAGCAAAAAGCCTTGTAATGAATTTACAATTAAGCCATTATACAATAAGCTATCCCTATGCTTAAGATTCATTGTTAGTAAAAGAAGTTATGTTACACAATCACACGTTAATTTAACAGAACAGATAAATGTAGTGCAATATCAACAGTGTTTAGGGAAAACAACATGCCATTTAAAACTTGTTTTTCCCCCTCCATAATTTGGTTTTCCTAAGAACTTTAGCATTTTTAAAGAAAAGGAAGAAAGTAAAACAAATTCCAGGCTATTAACTGGTTCTGAAGAATCTTACAAAAAGCACAATTTAAAACATACCTCCTGGACTTCCCTGGTGGCGCAGTGGTTAAGGATCCGCCTGCCAATGCAGGGGACACGGGTTCGAGCCCTGGTCCGGGAAGATCCCACATGCCGCGGAGCAACTAAGTTCGTGCGCCACAACTAGCGAGCCCGTGCTCTAGAGCCCGTGAGCCACAACTACTGAGCCCGCATGCCAAAACTACTGAAGCCTGCGAGGCATAACTACTGAGCCCGCATGCTGTAACTACTGAAGCCCGCACACCTAGAGCCCATGCTCTGCAACAAGAGAAGCTACTGCAATGAGAAGGCCGCATACAGCAACGAAGAGTAGCCCCCGCTCGCTGAAACTAGAGAAAGCCCGCACGCAGCAATGAAGACCCAACACAGCCAAAAATAAATAAAAATAAATAAATTAAAAAAAAAAACATACCTCCTTTTCCAAAAGCTCATTATGTATCAAGCAAGCACGTCTGTAGTTAAAATTTGTTACTGAAGTTGGTTCAAGGTAAGATGAGTGGAGAATATTTAAAACATCTTCAAATTCCCGAGAGCCTGGAGTTAATGGCTGAAAAAGTGCTAAAATAAAAAACAGTATTAATTTTAAGATTCCATCTTAAATGTAGTTTTTTATATTTTTGTGGCTTTGTTAATATAACTTTTAAATAAAGTTAATATAACTTTTTAAATAAAGTTAAAAAAGCATCAAGGCTATCTTATTTTGTGATATGCAAAAGAGATACTTATTAATTCACTAAAGAAAAAACTCTTCAGCAGCGAGCATCTGGCATTGCACATGCAGAAAAGGAAGTTACAATTTTGCAAAACTTAGGGGATGCTACACTAGGCAACCTAAACTGCTTAAAGACGCTCATAAGAACCTGTGTATAAACTCAACTTGCCTCAACTCCTATTTTATGTTACATTTAGGTAGTATGTCTAGGACCATTTATTTCAGCAAATGAAATGCTTATGCCATAAGTAAAAGCATAAAAACACTTAAGACACTTAGCTGTCTATACAATAAAATGATTCTATCTGGTTTTTAATACTAAAGTTAGAATAAAATATGCTGCATCCATTAGCTTCTTGTATTACCAATATAAAGTAGGAGGATATTTACTATGAAAACTTGGTGAAATGGAAAGATGTGGAACTTTGGAGACAGACCAGGACACAAATATCAGGTCTAGCATTTACTGGCTTTGTGGGAGACCTTGGGTAAATCAATGACTTAACAAAACAAGCTCGGTACTTTCTTCAGTAAAAAGGAGAATTCCAGCTATCCTAATAACCACTATATGCCATATGGCACATAAGACAACACATGGAAAAGGCTCTAAGAACAGCATCTGGTGCAAAGAAAAACAGTAAAAGTTTTTATTCCCCACTCCACCAACTACTGCATACTCCCTTTAATTTTTAAAATACTTAAGTCAAATATACAATTTGTTCTTCAAACAGTAGCCTAATAACCTCAAATTTCCACTTTATGAAATAACTTATAAATTTAAAACATCAAGTCTATATATATACTTTCCCCAAACCAAAAGGAACCATTTATTTTTCACGGTAGATAGAAGTATTCATAGAACTTATGTTATATGCTATTACCTTAATTTCTTTCAAGATACTATAGAGTCAATAAATGTCATTCAAAATACTTTTAGGCCACTACTGAAAGCGGTGTTCTACTTGTACATACTCTCAAAGGTACTAAAGAGCAACTGTTTTTACTGTATTCCCTATAACGTCAAATGACATATCCATTCATCCACCAAACCATGTATATATTACAAAAGTGCCCGTAAAAATGTAGCTTTCAATGAGAGAATGTGTATAGAACAAATGATTCCCACTACTTTGGAATTGCACGCTAAAAAAGGTGGCCGCAGGATAAAATCAACATACTTATAATAATGCAATAAAGACAGTAGGAGTAAGCAAGAAAAAAAACACTCAGAAAGAACTAAAGAACTACTAAACACAGAGTGTGCTATAATAAAATTTATAGCAAATGGAGATACTCAATAATCTACTGATTGTAAGCTCCATGAGAGGAGGAACTATATCTGCCTTGTTCATTACTCTACCTTTTCTTGGGGCACTGGCCCCAAGCTGAATGACTGAGTGAGTGAAGATGAGAATAAACTTTGTCAAGACTTTTTTATATTGAATCCAAATATATTCTAAACTACCAAAATATGATTGTTGTCATTTTAAATTAGGTCTCACAAATTCAACCATTCAGTGATATAGAAAACAAAATGAAAGCTCAAAAAACGGAGACATCCATTCTCTCAATTCGAATCTGTTTTATAGAATACAGTAGGAGAAAACGTTTTATCTTTGTGTCTGTCCCCAACTAAACTGGAAAAACTTGTGAGGGAAAACAGCATGTGGAAGTTTTCATAGGCTTTCCCATCCAAAATGAGCCAAGCATGATTCTTAAAGTTGGGTTTTATGTATGATTGATTTTTATGTTTCTAAACTAACAAGTGACTTCAGGTATCTAAAGATGTGCCAAAAAGAAGTATCAAAAGAAGTAGCTTTAAATTTCTATGAAATTTTACAATCTACAAAATGAAATCATTTTCCTTAGCTAAGCTATTCCAACACTATTTCCACTGTCAATCTAACCAAAAGTGAAAGATTCAAGTTAAATCATATAAATTTATATAGAAATTAACTTTCAAATTATTTTCAAAAAAGTACTTAACATTTCTGTTTCATTCCAAAGCAATGTCCTAGTCACCTCAAGTAATACTCAAGTAGACTGCCAGTGTGAAAAAAATTCTTGTGAATAAAAATACAGAAAAAGGTGCAAGATTTTAGGTCTAACAATACCTGTGTCCTAGTAGGTATTTTATATTTCAAACATCTCAGTTGGCTTTACTAGTTAGGCCAAAGCTATAATTTCTAGTTTTTCTTCCCAATTATCAATTTCTGTAAGAATAAAATTATGCTGTAACTATTTTTAAAGATTTCAAGTCAATGTGCTGGTAATAGTAGTTTAGAAATATAACCAGTTTATGTTCTGAATGTACATTCCCTGGTGGTCTATTTTGTCCTTAATAATCCTCTAAAGGACATACCTGATCAACACATCCTGTCACTTCTTTTAAAGAAAACATATATACATCACAGTATTATGGGTCATCACTGAGGCAATAATAATAAATAAACCTATAACTACCCGTAGGGGATCAGAACATTTTATATATTTATCATCCATTTCACATAGGAAGTCAGAATCCAATATACTGTTCTCCGGATTCTGACAATTTTTGAGTCTAACAATTAGTGGCTCATTATTCCTTTTCAGATACTGTACTAAGAGCTTTATATGCATTATCTCATTTAATCATCAAAACCACCCTATGAAGTTCATTATGCCCATTTCACAAATGAAACTGAGCTAACAGTTAACTTGGCCCAAGGTTGATACGTGAATAGGGCAGGTGTGAATTCAAAATAAGGCTCCCTAGCTGCAAATCTTGTTTCCTGAACTATAAGTAAAACATGTATATGTAAGTGCTGAATATAAGTGCTGAAACAAATCATTCCAAGAGCTGGAAAAACAGAATTGTTTCCTCATTTTAGACCAAGAAATTATATTAGCTGTATGGAAATTAGCAATAAAAGAAAAAGAATTTGATGTCTAGAATGCTCTTTCTACCCTCTTATGTCTTCTTTTGAATCTCATTTCTTAGTATTTCTTTCTCATTTATTGCATTTAACAGGGCCAAAAGCCATAGCTAACACCCTTTTTTGGTTTATAAAGGTTAACAGCAGTCATAATAATTCTTCCAGACATTAAGAAACATATAATTTTGCTTATTTACAGTGCTTCCATCAAATTCATGTCAGAAAGATAGTTACTGAGTTGATTTCTGATAATTCACAAGGCTCTTCTATTGACAAAACTGATGATAGATGTGTTTTCATCATTTTTTTTGTCTCTTTTGTCCACACTACATGGCATGCAGGATCTTAGTTCCCCAACCAGGGATCAAACCTGTGCCCCTGCAGTGGAAGCACGAAGTCTTAACCATTAGACCATCAGTGGAGTCCTTTTTATAGATGTGTTTTTATGGGATTCAAGAAAAGACTTAGAAAGGCACTTGGAGATTTATAATTCATATGAGGAGACTGTCTATATCACAGAACCACAACTAGAATTGAGTATTTTATATTACTGGTAGCATACAAAACATATTAAGAATTAAATGTTAAACTTAAGCAGCTGGAATAGACATAAAATTAAGGTCACCAAATAGTAGCTTTGTTTCTTAGTCAAAGGAGCATTTTTCCTCAACTACTTTTACCAACTCATTTAGTGTCAATGCCACTCTTTGTGTTTGTATTGTTTATGTGTATATGTAAAAAAAAACATAAGTGTAAAAACAAGCTAAACTTAAAAAAAGATGGACCAGCGTTATAAAAATATACCAAGAGAAATTCCAAAATATACATTCCAATTTAAAGTAATTCATGGAAGAAAAGGAAATGGCAAAGAGTAGGCTGCGGATCTCATTGGTCTGCAATTCTCTCTGAATCCATCTCTCTGATGTCTATGGATATTAATGACTAAAATACAATGAATATCCATTTGTTCCTCATAATAATTTAGACATTTTAAAAATCATTTTTCTTCAGTCTAATAAAATTACTACAGACATAATACTGTAGGAATGGGTGAATCATCTCTACTCATGATTGAATATAGTGCAGAATCAGTAATAAACATTCTAGCAGAGATCTAGAGAGATAATATGAAACTTGACTTTTTTTGGACTGGGGAATACGTCAAAGAAAGTTTTACCTCCATTACTTAGAATTTATATGCGCCTATCAAACGTTTTATGTGGATGACTGGATTCTGCCTGTACATTCCTGCTCAGATTTACTTCTATGTAGGGAAAACTGTGGTACTTAGAACCAAGCCATTCATATACAACTACTAAAACATCATGCAAATTTCCTTAAGAAAGACACTCAACCCCAAAGTCTTCAAAAAGACAACTCCAAATTCTGTGGGAAAAGATGGGGATTTGGGAGGAGAATTGGCCTTTAATTTTCCTGAACTAGACTAGTATGGATGCAGGTGCGTAAGAGCATTTAGTTTGTGATGCACCTGCACGAGACGCAGATGCACGAGAGCAATTAATCTTGTGCCCTACATAAAGCATTAACCAATAAACATTTTCCAGAAAGTGCATCATTACTACTTCATTTCCCAAGACCTTTGGAGGGAAAAATTATATCAAATACAATTACTGATTTTAATTTACTTTTGATGACTTACACTATCAGATTTTAGAGTAGAAGAAGGCAACAGTGAAACATCTACTGACGAAGTGCAATTCCACAATTTGGTTAAATGTAACAGTGACTCCTTACAGTACAGAAAGTAGCCCAGCCAATAAGTAAACAGAATAGCACATAGATCACAAAGAGTAAAATCTTACTCTTCTAGTCAAGGGATCACTTAATCAGTGAGTACTTATTAAATGTGTTAATTTTCTAATGAACATAATTTTGGAATCTCAAAATTCCCCAGGGATGAAGACATACTAAACATCACTATATTTAGTAGTTGTTTAAAAAAAATTTTTTTAAGTGAACTAAAACTTTTCTACAATAAAGAAGAAATAAGAAGTACTCTACACCTAGGTTCAAATTCCAACTCCACCATTTACTAGCTGTGTAACCTTGGGCAAGTTATTTACCTCAGTAGTTCAGTCTCCTCATCTGTAAAATGGGAATAGTACCTACCACACAGGATTACTGAGATTTAGTTAGTACATATAAACTGCTGAGAACAATGCCTATAACTTATTAAGCACTATAAAATGTTTGTCAATATCATTACTTAATTAGAATGGCACTATTTTGGATGTTATGCTACCGTGAAGACCAATAAAAGAACTGAGTCAAGTTATACTCACAAAGATTTACCTTTAAGCTACCAAAAACATGAGTCCTAATCTTAAATTTCACTGGTAAAGCAGTCACAAGCAAAGGTCTGCCATATTAAAATACGAATGCAACAGAACCTTTGATACTGAAAAGTTCAAGCAGAGGTATCTACTGAAAATGATCTAATATTCATGATAAAAGACTCAGATGACCACACCACTAATACCTAGCCAAATCCTATACATAAAGTGATACCTTTCAAGTCTTCCAAGAGGACATTATCTTGGGATCAAGTGTGAAACTAGCAGTACCTGCCGAACTGTTTCTGATAAAGCATTTTTTTAATGAAAAGTTATATTTTTCTATTAAATTCTATCACCAAGTATTAACTCCTTTCAGGTTGGACAGGATGAAGTCCATGATGGTAAAAAGCTGCTTATTTAAGTTTTAAAAGTGCTATTTAGATCGCTATTGCACTATTTGAACAGCTGCTGCTAAGTGTACAAATATTTAGACAAGTTAAAAATTACTCACTTTCACGAAACATGAAAAAAGTCCACTGTGTTATATTTTCCTTACCAAAACCTCCCTAAGAGGAGAAAGGTAACAAATTTCCCCCAAAGAAGCATCAGACTCAGGGGAGAAAGCAAAGACAACTAGGTTTTATATTTCCTAATTCCTCAATTATTATCTACTTTTAATGTGTTCAAATGAGGTCTATTTTACAGCAACCTCTGGAATTATCTAATTAAAAAAAAAACACACAAGCAAACAGTGCCTTTCAACATTTCCTAGTGCCCTCCCACATTTCAACCCAAATCGGTTTTATGCCAATTTCCTGGTCCTATCAAAAATTAAAAGGAGGTACATCATGCTTTGTTTTGCTTAAAACCCTAAAAAAACGGACTTCAAAATTTTATCAAGCTAAAAAAATTTTTAAAAAGAAAAAAATTCAACCTCCTACTTCGATCCTATAACCAGAACCCATCTGAATCTACTTCCAACCTATTCTCTACCAATTGTTAACTCAGGATGAAATCTAATTTTCCTCATATAGACTATACATCTTAACTGAACCAAAAGGATTGATAACCTTGACCTATACAAGAATTCTCTTGAACCCTAAAATGTATTACATTAACTCACTTAAAAGATACTTCTAGAAACATTCTGCATGCTAGTGGACAAAAGATAACTTCATCTTTCTCAACATCGTTTCTCACACCAAGGATTTTCCTGGCTTTATCATCCAAATAGAAATTAACAATTTGACTTTATTTGTATCTTACTGACAGAAGGCTAACAATTTCAGGTGTGCAAATGTAGCTGGTTATGCACATGGCAAGAGGAAGCACATGCTTCATTCAAGAGTCTCTTTACCAAGATTCAAGTTACAAATAAAAAAAGTTTTCCGCAAATAAGAAAATTCCTATTACTTTCCAAAGCAAATCTGAAAAAACGGAACCACGCACTAAAACAAAAAGACGCTTTAAATTGACTAAATCCAGACAGAGTATCCCAAATCGCTGGAGAGTCAAAAATTGTTTTCTAAGAATTGAAAACGATAACTTCCTCCATTAGAAAGGTGTCACAATACGGCATTAAGTTTTAAAAAGGTAACGTACTTCATTTAACTGTTCCCATACTGGTTCCAAAAACCAGACTGGACTTTTAAATATTTTTCTGAAGTTCTCTCATCTGCAAGATCAAGTTGGTGACTCTTGGGCATAAGCTGACCTCTATTTTTTTCCACAGGGAAATTACTGCACCAAGAACCTACCTTCCCAAGCTTCTCAAATACAAGAAAAAAACATACTAACGTCGGATTTAGAGACAGCCCTATCTAGCGCTTCAAAAACAAGAAAAAAAAATCTACATGGAAATGAAGTGTGATGGCAAACAGCAGTGTGCATGAATCACATCTAACGGAGATGTCTAAACAAGGGAAGACGCTGACATCGAGCAAATTTCAAGTAGACGCATAGAGCTGAAGAATTTCCACAGGGAGAAGCACTTGTGGTCCTCTCAACGCAATGGCCTTGGAGAAAGCCCCAGAATCCACGGCCACGGGTTATTTCCACAGTGAGACTTCTCAGAAGCATCCTTAGGAGGACACATCAGCTTCTCCGCCTTCAGGGGCTGCGAGGGAGGGGCGCCGAGCACCATCTTTCCTCTCTGGGAGCTGCAGCCTTACGGACAAGCTTCAAACCTGAGCTACTTCCAACTTCCACGGGGAGAGGGGGAGCAGGGAGCGTGGTTCCACCGCTTTCCTCTCGCACCAAGCGCAGCAGCTGGGCGGCCGTGGCAGTGCGGGGAGAGGCGGCTGGCGCTGCATGCGTGTTTACGTGTCTCGGATGGGTGTGGGAAGGAGACAGAGAGGTTCTAATGAAAAGATGGAGGGGAGAGAGAAAGAGGGGTTGGGAAAAAGGGGAAGCACCACCTTTCTTTTCTCTGCTCTTCCTGGGGATCTGAAAACTCCTCCTAACGGGTCTTTCGGGCTCTTCGGGGCCTTTGGGCAGAGCGGCCGCGCCCGCCTCACAGGAGTCCTGAGGCTGCTCGTGGCAGAGGCTCGGGGCGGCCTCGGCAGCCGCGGTCTCCTCAGGCCCGGCGCCGCCGCCGGGCTCCGCGACGCTGAGGCCGCCGCCATTTTGTGGGGAGGACTCAAGCTCCGGAAGCGCCTGCTTCAGCTCGTCGTCTCCGCCGCCGCCGCCACTTTCCCAGTTCGCGTCCGTCGGCGGAGAGGCCTCCGCCTCCGCAGCAGTAGCCATCGCGCCGGCGTGAGGAGCACCGGGAAGCTTCTGCCTACAAGGTCGACGGGGGTGGGGGGAAGGGGTGGCGGGCCAGCTTCGCCGCCAAGCTGCTCTCAGCCCACCCACCCCCTTCCCCCCCGTGGCCGCTGGCCGCTATCCCGGCCCAGCAGCCTCTCGGGGGCCCCAAAGCAGGCGCTACAACCGTGCGGCCCGACCCCAAGAGCCGCTCCTCGCTCGGGCAGTTCTTCTGCCGGCCCCCACCACTCAACGTGCTGGCGTCGGGGCCGGGATGGGGCGGGGCCATCTCGGAGCGCTCCACCAATGGGGGCGCGGCGCCCGCCTCCGCGGGTGCGGACCGACAGCGCCGGGGGGTGGAGCCTCGGGGCGCCGGAGCCCGCCAAAAGGGGCGACCGCAACGGCTGGAGAGTACCTCGACGCCGCGGCCAGCTGTGGGGTGGATGGGCCTCAGGACGAGCTGCGAGTTCCCGGAGCACGCTCGGCCAGTGCTGCAGGCGAGGGAGGCGCGCTGCGCCAGGTCCCGAGAACGCAGGCGTCGCCTCTTTACGGGCAAGATTACCCGGCTTCTCCGCGCACGATTCACATCGGCCAGGACAGTACAGAGGCAGTGGTTGTGGGACGATCTCGGCTTTGTGAAATATTTACGTGCATATAAAGCCCTGGAGTGGCGATAAGAGAGTGGACTGCAGCGATAAGAGCATGAAAGCCTCGGGGGCCCACTTCACCGACCTGCAGTTCCCACCGGATCTTGCACCTTTACAACACATTACTCCCACCCGCCCCCCTCTTTTATCTAGAGGGGTTAGAACCAGTGGCACGCCTCCAGCAAACAGTCGATACCTTGGTCCTTTGATTTGACTTCATAGCCTAATGTTAACAGGATTTGGTTCTGGGGAGCTTGAGGAGAGAGGGGCTGCTGGCTTTTAGATTTCCCTTTGGTGTTTCAGTTTTCCTCAAGTGCGTGTATATTAAAGAAAAATAGAAACGCCTGCAGCCACGTTAAAAAATATACAGCAAGCGATCGCTTTCCCTTAAAACAACTTGACAGTCAAGTAGAAGGCCTTTAAAACAGCTTACACCGATTAGGTTGAAACTACTATTTATTTGGGTTATGGTGAATAGAGAAAATGTAATATTTCTTGGGTCCTTTCTGGACGCTAGGCACTGGACAAAGCGATTTACGTATACTATGTACATTTAATCCTCACAACAACAGATGTTAGGGAGATACTATTATGCACAATTTAAAATAAGTGTTGCATAGGGAGGGTGAGAGGGAGGGAGACACAAGAGGGAAGAGATATGGGAACATATGTATATGTATAACTGATTCACTTTGTTATAAAGCAGAAACTAACACACCATTGTAAAGCAATTATACTCCAATAAAGATGTAAAAATAAATAAAGCAGGGATAATAAAAAAAAAATAAGTGTTGCAATTAGGAGTATGGGATTAATAGAAACACACCACTGTAAAACAACAAGGATTTACTGTATAGCACATGGAATTGTGTTCAGTATCTTGTAATAACCTATTATAGAAAAGAATCTGTAAACTATAGTTAAATAAAAAATAAGTATTGCAAGATATAGAACAAATTAACAAAATGAGAATTTGAAGCCAGGTCTGTTTAACTCCAAATAAAGTACTTGCCCTTGACTGCTTCTCTTAAGACCTAATCTTCACAGCAGCTCTGTACCTTTATGCATTTTATGTATGGAGAAATGAGGATTGACATTTTGCTCCATCTCTAAGCAGTAGGATAAGGATTGGGACCCAGACCTCAATTTTCAAACTCCAGGAGTTGACTGACCAAACCTATAATTATAATAAAACCCTAGGCTTTGCCACGTGGCTGCTACTTAAAGAGCATTCCCAACGGCAATAGCAAAATTGGATTCCAATGTCCTGTGATAAATATCATACCTGTTTAACAGCTAATAGGAAAAGCTAATCATGACTTGCCCAACCTATTTGAATCAGCTCAGTAAGTCATAGGAAAGTATAAAACAATTATTCCTTTTAGTAAATAGTTAATATAAAAACATTTTAAAATACTGATGAAAACACTAGGGCCATGTTGAGGCAAAATGCTACATTATTTTAAGTTAAAAATTACCCTCGAAATTTGGAGGAAGAAGCTTTACTTGATAGTAGAGGCTATCAGAAACTCAGGTGTTGGGGTCTCCAAAGGGTAACTCTGTTGTTGGTTCATTAAAGGCATTTCTAAAAACTCATTTTTATCAGATTAAAGATAAGTAGGAACAACTGCATACTGGTGCCACTGCTCAGCTAAGGCTTTCCTCATCTGGTCAGCAAAAGCCAGCTTAAACGCGGAAGGTAGAAGTCCTAGGATATGTATAAGGCAAACACACCAGTTGGTGGTAAAGAGTACCTAAAACTAAGCCCAGAGAGAACCATTTGTCTTCCACAGAAATAGAATCTTAAATTCGGTGAGGATAAAATTTTTCTTCATTCCAAGTCATTTATTTTTTTAAATTTTAAATGAATTCAGTATTATTCCTTATAAGGTGTAAGAGGATTGGGAAGCTCTAATATATAATTTTAACTATATATTCAATTATTGTAGATTAAAAATTTTAGGTTCACCTGGATAACATTACTACTATTCAATATTAGAAATATTTTTCAGTTGTTTATTGGGTGCTGTGTGCTGAGGATATAATTCTGAAGCAAAGGGACACGGGTACCTCTTTCATGTTTACAGTTCATCAGAAAATATGTCTAAAACTAGAATCTATGGTGATGGCTAAGCGGAGACCTAAAAGTTAAGAATCAGCTACAGGAAAGGGATAGAGGGGGCATAAACTTGCTATCTCAGGAACACTAACACACACAGTGAGATACAGAGGGTATCCACATATGTGTTTATATACATGTATGCATATAGATATCCAGTATATGGGGATGGGGGTTCAAGGGGAGGAGCTACCACTGATACACAAGGTTCTGAAGCAAGAGCTACTAAAGGTTAAAGATATAAAAGCTACCTAGGGGACTTCCCTGGTGGTCCAGTGGTATAAAGAATCCACCCTGCAATGCAGGGGACTTGGGTTCAGTCCCTGGTCAGGGAACTAAGATCCCACATGCTGGGGGGCAACTAAGCCTGCACGCCATAACTACTGCGCTTGCGCACCTCAAGTAGAGCCCACGTACCACAAACTACAGAGCCCACGCACCCTGGAGCCTGCTCGCCATAACTAGAGAAGAGAAAACCTACAGACCACAACTAGAGAGAAGCCCATGCACCACAACAAAGAGCCCGTGCACCACAACGAAAGATCCTGCGTGCCGCAACTAAGACCCAATGCAGCCAAAAATAATAATAATTTTAAAAATTAAAAAATAAAATAAAACCTACATTGTCCCCTACCCTAAGTAATGGACAAAACAACAACACAAGGAAAACTAGAGAACAATGAGATAGTGTATAATTAAATATGCAGGGACCACGATTGCCTTTTTAAATTGGAAACACAAAAATAATCCAGTTCAACTCTTCATTTTAAAAATAGGAAAAGACAGTGGACCAAGATCACATAGCAGGCTAGTAAGAAGACTTAACATTCATTGAGCACTTTCTGTGTGCCAGGCACTGGTACTAGGAGTGTTACATGTGTTGAATCATTAATCCCCACAAAAAGTATTAATGCTATCCATATTTTACAGATAAGGAAACTGAGACAGAGGGGTTATTTAACTTTCTTATGGTCATTTCAGTTTTAAGTGGCAGAACCAAGATTCTAACCCAGGCAGTCTGCCTTCAAAGCCCATGCTCTTAATAACCACCCTAGGCTAACCTCTCGTTAGTAGCAAAACAAAGTCCAGAACTCAGTGCATTTTCCACTATGCCATTTCACCTCCCTTCCTCAAACAGTACTATAAAAGACAGGATATAAATAGTATAACTCAGCAATAACTGTCAGTATTACTGAAGCATAAACCTTTGAGCTAGCAATTTTACTTCTAGAAATTTGTAGTAGAGATATGCTCATTCACATTTGAAAGGTTTATTCAAGGATATCCATTGTTATTTGTAATGGGATATCAAGTTTTGTTTGTAATAGTAAATAATTGGAAACTAAATGTCTATCAATAGGGTATACCCATAAAATAGATACTGATACATGCCAAAACATGGATGCATCTTGAAAACATGCTAAGTGAAAGAAGCCAGACACAAAAATCCACATACTGTGTGATTCCATTCACATGAAAGTTTAGAATAGTCAAATCCATAGAAACAGAGAGAAGATTGATGGTTACCAGGACCTGGAGAGAGGGGGGGAATGAGGATAGACTGACTGCTAATGAGTATAGGATCTCTTTTGGGGGTGATGAGAATGTTCTGGAATTAGGTATGGAGATAGTTGCACAATTTTGTGAATGTACTAAAAACCACTGAGTTATAAACTTTGCGGAGCACAGGCTCCGGATGCGCAGGCTCAGCAGCCATGGCTCACGGGCCCAGCCGCTCCGCGTCATGTGGGATCTTCCCGGACCGGGGCACGAACCCATGTCCCCTGCATCGGCAGGCGGACTCTCAACCACTGCGCCACCAGGGAAGCCCGAGTTACACACTTTAAAGTATATAAGGATTGATTTCATGATATATGAATTATGTTTGAATTTTTTTTTAAATAGAGGACCTAGGTATTACCAGAGGACAGAGATTCCAAGCAGCAGGGAGTCTCTCCCATTGCTGGCTTTGAAGAAACAGCCTGCCATAAATTCTACAGGTGCCAACACCTTGAGAGATCTTGGAAGCAAATTCTTTCCTAGTGAGTCTCCAGGTAAGAATGCAGTCCAGCTGACATCATGATTTCAGCTGTGTGAGACCCAGGCAGAGAAACCAGCTAAGCCATGTCCATACTCTGACCTACAGAAACTGTGAAATGATACATGGATATTGTTTGAAGCTACTAAGTTTGTGGTAATTCATTATGCCGCAATAGAAAACTAATACAGAGGCTACAAAACACCTGGCTTTTCTAAGTGCTTTGCATATGTTAAATTTATTTAATTTGCACAATAAACTCTGTGAGGGGGCCTCCCTGGTGGCGCAGTGGTTAAGAATCCGCCTGCCAATGCAGGGGACACGGGTTCGAGCCCTGGTCTGGGAAGATCCCACATGCCTCAGAGCAACTAAGCCTGTGCGCCACAACTACTGAGCCTGCATGCCACAACTACTGAAGCCTTGGTGCCTAGAGCCTGTGCTCCGCAACA